CTGCTGGTGGGGGTAGGGGGGGCCTCCCGGGGAAATTTTGAAAATGAAGATGCAAATCCTGCATTCTGGCTTTGGTAAAAATACTCTATGATTGTACCTAGGACAGTTTCTTATTGAAAAATTCCATATTTATAATCATTTAGGGTATTTCGAATCACCTTTAAAGTTTACATTTTGACTTAAAAAATAATAATTATGATAATACAACATCTTTGAAAATAAATTTAACAATTTTCAGGTATATTGTGTGTAAATTATAAGTATTTTTCTTGCTCTTAGTGAGTTATTGGTAAAATTTACTGTAGCCCTGCAGGGCAAGTTTAAAGACATGTTTGGTAGCCCGACCTCAGTATTCAGTTGTCCCGGGCCAGCGGGCTAGCATTAGTGTCGAACCCTGCCACTGCAGAGTTTCCGAAAACCAAATTTTTCTATCAGTCATTCGGACTGATACTTAATGTGTTTATCAGTCCGAAACATATTTATCAGTCCGAATAAATTTTAAAATATACAGTGTATTTCTCATGTCAGATGTAATTCAAAGAAAATGGCATTGAATATTTTAAAAAAATTGTGGCTCACAAACACTGATTGTGATACCAGGAATATAAAATGCAACTATATTACAGTACCGACCAGACCCAACCTGACACCCAAGCAGTCCCAGAAAGCAGTCCCCGGGACTTTTTGGGGACCGCTCTGGGACTGCTGTGGGACTGCTATGGGACCGCTGTGGGACTGCTCTGGGACCGCTGTGGGACTGCTCTGGGACTGCTCTAAAAAGCAGACCCAGCAGTCCCAGCTGTCCCTGGGACTGCTTTCTGGGACTGCTTTGTTCACTCATGTGTGAAAAAAGGTTCTGAGTGACATGACATGATAGCTCCGCCCCTTTGTGTATTCTGAATTTGCAGGTCCCCTGTTGTTTTGTTTACTTGCAGCAGAGATGAGTTTAAACTGTTTAAAAAGCAAGGATTTCTTACAATCTTTTAATAAGTAGAGATTATTATAGTTAATTAATATTTACTTAAATTGTATATTTATATGTAGTTTAGAATAAACTTTTAAAAAATAAACTTGTTAAATAAGGAAGTCAGGAGAAAAATAATTTTTTCCCTAAATATAAGATAAGGTTTATGAGAAAAAAATATCTACATGTAGGCCTTTTTATTACGGGGGTATTAAATGTAAAATTAAATACTAAAAATTTGCATTTGTACTATTTAAAAATAATTATTACAGTTAGATATAAGATTTTTAATTTAAAAGTTACGTTTTTAACCCTCAAATATAAAATCTCACACTTTATTAAATTACCATGAAATAAAATTAATGCTTCCATTAATTCTTCCGTAACATAAACAATGTGAAAAATCACTGGGGAAATTATTGATGAATTACCGGTAGTTTTTGATTTATACACAAGTTATTAAAAAAGTACATTAATTTAAAAAATAAACAGTTGAAAAATACCGGGAGTTGTGATTTATTTCTTTTTTTATTTTGCTCCTGTTTACTCCGCCGATTACCCGGTAATGTGTATAAAAATGGTATCAGCAGTCGCGGTTTCAATTGCCTTTGGGCAGAAAATCAGTGTATGTTATTTCGGTATACATATCAGCGTTTCACATCATTGAACTTGCTGGTCAATAATGACCCTAATTTCAATCCACCGGTATGTAATGCAAAAATGAAATTGATAAATGAAATGTGTATGAATTTCTTTCAGGATTAATTAATTTTGAACATAATCTGAGGGCTCCATTCGGGTGATTTACAGATATACACTCTAACATTTACAAAAAAGCACTTAAAACTTAAAGCACAATATTATAGAGACAGAGAAATTTAAAATAATTAAATTGACATGTCAGTAAAAATAATCATTACTGAAAATTAATACTTTGCAAAATCAACAAAGAATTTTTTTTGAAAATCCCCATTACTTAAGAAAATTTATTAGAGTATCCCGATGATATGGAAATTGGCCATATAACGATAAGAGCTATTTAAAGCTAATTCTGGTGTAAAATAATTAATTCACGTTTAATTTTCTGTCTAGAAAATAAATATGGGAAGCAATATCAATTACAGAAAATAAAGAAATCGTATTATTAATATACCAGATAATTGTGATTTATTTTAATTAATAATTAATAAATTTGAATTAATTTTAATTCAGGACTGCTCTGGTGTAATATTCATGTTCAGTTTAATTTCATATATGTACGTGTGAAAGCCTTTTTCATTCAATTAATATTATTTCAATTTTGTTCCCATGCGCGTACTCTTCATTAATGACCTTCGCACACATGAAAGGATTCCAGGCATACTACCCAGAATCAAATTCTACAGCCTTTTATAGTTCCATTGTTAATTGGGAATCTCATTTCTGAGTTAGCTCCGCCCATTAAATAAATAAACCCCGCCCTCTAGGACTGCTGGGATTGTTTTCTGGGACTGTTGGGACTGCTCTCTGAGACCGCTCTGGGACTGATGTAGGACTGCTCTGGGACCGCTTTGGGACTGCTCTGGGACTGCTTTAGTCCCAGAAAGCAGTCACCGGGACTGCTCTGGGACTGCTTTGTGTCAGGTTGGGGTTGGTGGTACTGTAATTCAAACATGGCACCAGGTCACACAGGCTTGTGGCAGCAATAAAGTCACTAGCCCCAAGTAAATGTTGGGGGAAAGAAACAACTAATTACAAAAAAGTTAATTTTTGGAAAAGAAATCTTCTCAAGGTTTCTAGAATTCTTTTTAAAATTTAAAGTTTAATTCTCACTTGTAAATTTGAATCATATATAAATAGCAGTAGAAATTCAAAATAAAAGTAAATTTTAAAAAATTATCTTTACGTTTTCTCAGTGGGCATTGCACCTCATGACCTATATACTGCATGTGTTTACCAATAACAGAGGAATGGAGGAAATTCAAAATTAGGAAAAAACGATCCTTTTTGGAAGTAAATAAGTGAAGCAGAACTGCAAAATGGATAAGATAATGGATATTTACGAAGAATAGGAGTTTGCTGCATTGAAATTTTTCATTTATGAAGATATTGCAATAGATTAGAGTACAATAAATTAATCAGGACAAGCCCTCACCACAATCGGTCACACGGACCGATACTGTGGTGAATTTCATCGAACATTTTGATTTTCTATCGGTTTTGCCGGTAGGACCGATATTTTTTCGGAAACTCTGCACTGACATTTTCTTTTTTGTTACAATTTTTTTTTTTTGCTTAAAAATGATGCCTTTGCATTAATTCGGTTATTCTCGAGTTGTAGAGTGCATCCTGACAATCATGTAGCAATGATAAAGTAGTATATATTGATGTTGCAATGTATCCAATATATAAATATCTGTTGCACCTGTCTAATTACGCGGCAACAAAACCCCCCTCTTCAATGAAATAGCGCACCAAGGGAGATACATCTCGAAAGTTGCGTATTGAAAAGAAGCTATTCAATTTAAGATATTCTCATCAAATTTCATACACTAATACAGATTTTCCTGTTGCATTACAAATATACCCTCGCTGGGGCATTCATATCCTATGGACATATTTCTTGTTTCTTGAAAATTATTTAGAATTATATATAAGGTTAACAAAAATACAAAATTTATTATGGCTGACCACATATATTAAACAGAACAGCCTTTTGAACATGTATACCCCCATAATGGGTATATCAGATTAAAAATTCTTTGCAAAATTTTGAAAAAGTTAAGTGTAAGAAGATGAGTCTTAAAATCAATAGATCTCAAGTTGGTTTTTAATGAAAAAAAAATTAATGAAGCTTTAGTTCCAGAAAGCAATTAAAGAATTTTGTGTCTTTGTGTGTATAAAATTATTTAAAAATCCATTGGACAGTGTGCATAGTGTTAATTACCATAAATAATGTATATAAGATGCTTTGTATGTGCAATGAAACTATAATAAACAAATACCTACTGTCATAACTTGTTTTGTTATTAACCATCTAAAAAGATTAATTTAATAGACAAGTGATAACTAGAATTTCATATCAGTGTAATGCAATTAAAACCGGATTTGTAAAAGTATGGACCTTCCTTAATTGTTGCTATTTTGGATTTCTTCTATGTTATGGTATTAAAGATAGAGACTTACAGAAAAGGAACATTCTGAAAAGTTATTTAAAATAAGTTTAAAGGTTTTACTTTGTTATCAAGGGTAAATTTCAAGATTTATGGTAAGTGATTTAAATTATGCAAATTATAAAGAGAGATTGGAATGTCTTGCAAGATTCGACTAGTTGCAAATCTGTGTTATTTATGTCTCTGAATATATTAAGAATACATAATCAAAAAAATTTACAGGTAATAATGCCATCTAGTTTTCCTTAATGAATTTACAGGAAATAAAATCAAAAGATTTGCAAATATAATTGATTCCACTAGGTAAGTATGCATGCATGTAAAATTATTCAAATATCGGTACATGTATTGCATTTTATTAGTACAATATTTATTTTTCTTCTGTTTTAATTCAGCTCTACTCCAAGTAAAATGATAATATCATGACAATATCATATCTTTGTCAGGTATTTTTTTTTTCATCAATTACTTTGTTGTGTGTTCTCCTTTTTACAGGTATGTCCATGATGAGGAAAGCCCAGGATGTCAAATCATATTTCAAAACAACAGATTTTCAAGGCAAGACATTTAAGAGTTTTAAGATTTATGTTTGTAAACTATTCAGGCCTTGGAGATAAGTGAGAATGAATATATATTTTTATTACTTTGACAGAAAATACCGACCTGAGATTGAGAAATTTATAGCACAGCTGATGGAGAGAGATGCTTGTGATTCAGAAGTTCTGCCTGATGTAAAATTGAAGGTAAAATATTCTGAGATGAGTGTGAATTTATGTTTTACTTAGCTCATTGAACCCAAGTGCCTTCTATATCTAAGATAAGCACCAGCAGTGATTTTCAGCTTGTGCCTCAGACAAATTTTTATCAGGCTTCCTGCTTTTGATGGAACATCAAAAAACAAAAAAACAGTACAGTCAATACTCCTTTATTTAAGGACATAGGCAATGTACCTTTCCTTTTGATAATTTTTCATGGTATTTCTTAATTTAAGATTATAGTGTCAATAGCATATTAAGATGTTCATAGACCAGAAATCAGCAAGCATTAAGGGTTTTTTTTGTTTGAAAGTCATCAATTGATGAAAATTCTTGGATGATTCAAAGAAAAATATATAAAAATTACTCAATATGCATTTTAGATGCTTCTTTTATCAAAACTTGTTTTGGAAGAAGTGTACAACACCATATATAGACATTTACAGTCCCTGAAACGTTCTACTTTCCCACCTGAACTATGAACGAACACTTAGCAAACGGTGAGTGAATGATGTGCGAACGCTGAACACAACTTGGTGAACGATGTGTGAATGGTGAACGGTGAGTGAACGCAAAACGCGAAAGGAGCCCGAATGCGAGCGCAAAGTGAATGGTGAACGAATGGTGAACGCAAGATGAATGATTTATTCGGAATGCATCCGATCTTTTCCTTGCATTGAAATTATTCTATTATTCTATAATTCTAATTTCAGGTGCTAAATATAAATAAACAATAGATAAATAAATAATTAAAAATAATAATAAAAACAGTTTTTTTTGTGCACATACCTATGTTTTAAAGCGATATTTAAATAATATAATTTTAATTGCCGTAAAACATGTGTATTTGTTACCAAACGCATGTAATCTTAATGTAAATTTATCTACTTATATAGTAAATATGCTTATTTTTTTAGCTAATAAAATAATGTGGACTTTAGAAGATAAAACTATTACTTATAGAATGAATTAATTACATTGTACCCAGTTGAAACAACCATACATGTATTTCCGTGCCAAGGTGATTCTGAGTAAAATAATGGATTTTTTTCTTTTAAATTCACAATTGTCTATTGACGCTTTGCATAAAAACACTCGTATTTTAAAAATCTAATGCAAAATATCCCATATTCATGCGTCATTTTTATTCTTTGATATGATGATTATTTTATTATTTTAACTTCTACATCTATGGCCGTGATTATACTCAGACAAGATGATGGAAAGAGGCATTCAAATTATTTGTAATAGATT